ACCCACTTTTCTGAGGTCCTCAGGGCCCTCACTCACCCCAGGGTTGAGCATGTGCTGAATGTGCCCATGCACAGGGTAATGTGCAGGGTGGTTTGCTCAGCCTGACCCGGGGCTGGAGCAAAAGCTCCCCAGTCATGGAGGGAGGTGCTTTTGCAAAGCAGAAAGGTCACCCGGGGCCGGGCTACCTGCAGCCGCCTGGGTCCCGGCTGAGGCTGGCCAAGGGCTGGTTTTGCTGCGCTCTAGCGTGCTGGGAGCCGTGATCAGAGAGCTCCCACAGCAATGCATAATGGTGACGCCTGCCATGAAGCGGACAGACGCAGTAACAGCTGCACTTTGCTCCCACAGATAGAGAGTGTTTAGAGACCAGGATGGCAACTTGACCTTGACTTACTGGCAGCTGCTGGCCATACACTTGGGCTTCATCATCGTGTTCGAGGTACCAGCTGCCGAGCCCTGCAGCGTGGCCCAGGGCACAGTGCTGGGGCGGGGGGTGAGGACCCGCCATCTTGGCCAACCTGCATGTCCCCGCTCACTTCCAGCATGTGGTTTTCTTTATCGGACGTGTGATTGTGTGGCTGGTACCGGACATTCCTGAGTCCGTGGAGGTCAAGGTGAAGCGTGAACAGTACCTGGCCAAGGAGGCCCTGGCTGAGAACAAGGTGGGCTGCAGCAGCTCCTCTGCCTCCTCCTTTAAAGCCTTTTTTGCTTTAAACTTGCACAGAGGCACAGGCAAGCAAGAAGGCAGCCCTGTAAGGAATTGCGGCAGCTCCTACTAGTGTAAAGGCTGGCTCCCTTTTTCTGTGGTTCAAGTCCTTTTGGAGAGACAGGAGACAAGAAGCAAGGCCAGCGTCACGGATCCAGCCACAGGCAGCAACTGGGAAACCAAGCAGTTCACCAGAAGCTGAGCACCGCAGTGTGCCCTGAAGCATCTGGCATGGTGCCGGGACTGAAGGGCTGCCGATCAGCTCCTCCTTGGGCCAGCCTGGAGCAGGCGTGCCTTCCCTGCCCGGCTGGCACACTGGCATTTGGGAACGGCTATTGCTAGAAGTGGGGAGGGACGCAGCTGGCTCTAGGTGTTTGTCCAAGCTCACTGGCATTACCGCAGGGTAACTCCACCGCTGTGTAAACAACCCAGCATGGAGCAAATTAAAGGAGGCTGGACATGCTGCATCCCTGGGTTGTGCTCAGCTAGTGCAGGGCAGCGCCTGCCCACAGCAGCTGCACGGCTGGTTAGTACAACCACAGCTCTGCTTGCCACTCGGGGCAAGCAAAGGTAGGGCTATGGCCTCCTGCACTGGCTCTTGCTTCTCCTGCCTCCACCTGTGCTGGATGTAACCACAGCTGGAGGGTTTGCTCCTGCCAATGCCAGCAGGTACAGTGGGAATGGCTGAGCTGCTGTTGGGAGGGGGAGAGCTATGGAGGCACCGGGTGAACTTGCGAGGCATGCTGTGACCCTCCGACACGGCAGCCCCTGAGCCAAGTTTTGCCTATCGGAGAGCAGCAGCCTGGCCCCGGCTGGTGGGTGCTGTGCAGCGGTGCCAGTCCCAGAAGGCAGATGAGAGGCTCTGGTTATGGCAGAGGTGAGCAAGAGGGACCATGGCTGGTGCTTCCCTCTCCTCCCCTACACTGGCAGCGTTCCCGGCACCACTTCCCTGGGTGCTGATAGGTTGGTGCCTCCCCGTGAGGAGGGCACAGCCTCCACTGCTGCCCGGTGCTGCTCTCACCTCCTCCCTCGACCCAGCTGCTTGCTGTGCAAGTCCTGCCTCAGCAAGGGCATCGCCACAGAAGCTCACGCATGCAAGCTAGAACTCCTCAAACCAGGCTAAACCCAGCCAAGCAAGGGCTGCCTTTGATCTCAACCCACCAGTAGAAATAATATCCGTGACACTCCAAGCTGTTTCAGGTTTTATTTTAGAATTTATAAAATTCCAGTGTCATCCATACTCATGAGCCTTTTTACATGTTTGCATATAGTCTCCAAATTCCAAAGTTAAGGCCAAGGGATCATTGCTATGGAAACGTACAATATGGAAGACGTCAAAGAGAGGAAATGGACACATGCCACAGTCTGCTGCGGAAGGAGGGTGGTGGGGGGACAGTACTAGGTACAATCACTTCATGACCTTCTTTAGAGTGGAGGGTCGGGCTATGGGGCATGAGCCCAGACGGTGGTGCCCCAAATGTAACTCAAGCCTAGCTGTGCAACTGGTGAGGGCACGGGGGGGGGGGCATAAAGAGGAAGAGGGGGGCAACAGGCTTGGTGACATAGGACAGACCTAAGCTACAGGGATAATAACCATATTCTGACACAGATGCAAGGGTGTCACCCTAGTTCTGTCTGACCCACCCTGTCTCCCGTGCTGGAGACAAGGCCACCCTGTCCTTCAGGGGCAGCCAGGTGCCCTGCAACGGGCCGTGGTCAGCTTCAGTCATTTCTCAAACTTAAGGAGAGCACTGTGAGGTTTTGGTTCAACTTCTGCATAGCAGCCTCTTCCAAGAAGAGCTGGTGCGGGAAGAAGTGTCGGCATGTCAGGCCTGCTGGACAGAGGGAAAGGCAAGAACACTGGGCTCAGCTTGCCAGAGTTTTGGGCCTTTGCTCCATAAGCAGCACTAGAGAAGAGAGGCTAGGGACTCCTGCTTGTCCAAAAGCTGAAGCAGCTGGGATAGAGGAATGGCTCAGACTACAACCTCTGTAGGACTGAGGCAGGGGAAGGAAGGAACACAGAAACCCCAGGCTCCCTGCCTCCCTTCACAAAGACATGGTTTTCCTCTTACTGGCTGGAGGAGCTTGGACACAGCCCCCTTCGAGCAAGCCGTGGCAGGGCCTAGGCGCAAGTGGCCCGGAGTAGAGCATGGATAACCCTCTATGCCCATACGATGGAGGCCTCGGGGAGGGCTCAATGCACCACACCGTCAGCCCCCCAGTGCCATCAGAGCAGAAGCCTGGCTCACAACCTCTGCAGCCAAGGGCTACAGCAAGGCTGTGCTTACAGCCTTGGGGCCGAGCTCTGTTCTAGCTCAGCAAGCAGTCCTACGGTTCTGATTCACAGCCTGCCTCATTGTCACCATGCTCAGCTTCCCTCTGGAGGAGCTCCCAAAGCCACTCGGAGACAAAAGGCTCCTCTTGCTTCTCCTCCATGTTTCTGCCCTGGGTGCTAGGGCAAGAGCTGGAACAGCTGCTTACCCACTTGCACTGAGAGGCCACCATCGTACCGACTTTTGAGGTAGAAAGAAGGCAATAGTAATAGGTGTCCCTACTGCTCATGCCTACATGCTGCAGTGCTAGCAGAGGACTACAGCTTCTCAAGGCTGCACTTCCCACCAGCTTCTCCTGGGCCATGCCACCACAGCAACCTTGGCTGACACAAATCTGTCCCATCCGGTAATAAGTCACGTGCTGGCTTGCCTGCCTGCTCACACTGTTGGCTGTTGGGAAGGGTGAACGAGGGAACACGGGGAACTAGGAGCGGGGTCTGCCATCACGCGCTGGAAGACTCGTCAAGCATGCAGGCTGGGGCTGTGCTTGGTGTGGCACAGGGGCACGCTTGCTATGCACTGCACTCAGAGGTGTTTACCTGACCAGGGTAGCCATACGTTGTTCTGGTCCCTTCCATCTCTGCTGCCTCTACAGCCTATTGAAGGTTTTGTTCCTTTAAAAAACAAGTTTCTGACCTTTTAGATTATTTTAAGCTCTCCCCACAGTCAGCTATCAGCATTAAATGAATTTTTGGCAGTTAAAAGGAAAAAAGTTGATTGCACTCTACAAAGGTAAGGTAAGGCCTGGGATAAACACAAAGGAAAGAGGGCAAACGTTTTGGCTTTAGAAAGTCAAGGAAATTTATTTCCTGAGGTCATGAGACAGGAAGTAGATTCCTAGCCACAGTAAGGGAGGTCTCCTAATGAGGGCGAGAATGCCTAGTAAGACATGCTCAAGACAGCAGATTGCTCTGCTAGTGCTTGGGAAGCTGCAAATCTTAGCCACTTGGAGTCAATTATGACGTTTCTAACAAAAACACGCACATTTAGTGTTTGAATCTGAGTGGAAGTCTTGTTCCAAAGGAGGAAAGAATATCCATCAAGAGATGAGGGTGGGTCCTAGCCATGGTGACAGCTGAGGGGAGCAGGATGGGGTCTAGCACTCCAGACACCATTAGGAGACCTCTTGGGGCAATTGACTTGTGCTCCAGCCGCTGGGTCAGATTTCAGACAGGAATATTTGTGGCAGGTTAGTGTCAGGTCAGCGGGCTGGAGGAGATGTTTCTGCTTCCAGGTCATTATCGTTTGGGTCCCCAGGGAAGAGTCTTGGGGGCCACTTGAGCCCCAAAGCTGGGGAAGTCTTCAGAACTGCTCATGTCAGGGGCCTAGAGCAAACAAAAAGGGAACAAGTTAAGCTTCTGCCCTGCTGCAAACCTGCACGGTTTGAGCTAAGCAGCATTTCTGATGTCCCATGAGCAGATACAATGGGTGAAGGCCAAAAAGGATCATTATGTCCTTACGACTGCCCAGGGTGGATGGTCAAGCCATCTAGAGATGACATTTACGAGGGTGCAGGTAGGAGGAAATGGCAGGCGGATCAATGGCTCTGAGGGCCCAATCTCAGTAACTTGGTCACTGGAGTGGGGTCAGGCCAGTCCTGCAGCAGCGCCGGGGAAGCTGAGGACACAGGTGCCACAGGACCACGGCATCGTCAAGCATGCAGGCTGGGGCTGTGCTTGGTGTGGCACAGGGGCACGCTTGCTATGCACTGCACTCAGAGGTGTTTACCTGACCAGGGTAGCCATACGTTGTTCTGGTCCCTTCCATCTCTGCTGCCTCTACAGCCTATTGAAGGTTTTGTTCCTTTAAAAAACAAGTTTCTGACCTTTTAGATTATTTTAAGCTCTCCCCACAGTCAGCTATCAGCATTAAATGAATTTTTGGCAGTTAAAAGGAAAAAAGTTGATTGCACTCTACAAAGGTAAGGTAAGGCCTGGGATAAACACAAAGGAAAGAGGGCAAACGTTTTGGCTTTAGAAAGTCAAGGAAATTTATTTCCTGAGGTCATGAGACAGGAAGTAGATTCCTAGCCACAGTAAGGGAGGTCTCCTAATGAGGGCGAGAATGCCTAGTAAGACATGCTCAAGACAGCAGATTGCTCTGCTAGTGCTTGGGAAGCTGCAAATCTTAGCCACTTGGAGTCAATTATGACGTTTCTAACAAAAACACGCACATTTAGTGTTTGAATCTGAGTGGAAGTCTTGTTCCAAAGGAGGAAAGAATATCCATCAAGAGATGAGGGTGGGTCCTAGCCATGGTGACAGCTGAGGGGAGCAGGATGGGGTCTAGCACTCCAGACACCATTAGGAGACCTCTTGGGGCAATTGACTTGTGCTCCAGCCGCTGGGTCAGATTTCAGACAGGAATATTTGTGGCAGGTTAGTGTCAGGTCAGCGGGCTGGAGGAGATGTTTCTGCTTCCAGGTCATTATCGTTTGGGTCCCCAGGGAAGAGTCTTGGGGGCCACTTGAGCCCCAAAGCTGGGGAAGTCTTCAGAACTGCTCATGTCAGGGGCCTAGAGCAAACAAAAAGGGAACAAGTTAAGCTTCTGCCCTGCTGCAAACCTGCACGGTTTGAGCTAAGCAGCATTTCTGATGTCCCATGAGCAGATACAATGGGTGAAGGCCAAAAAGGATCATTATGTCCTTACGACTGCCCAGGGTGGATGGTCAAGCCATCTAGAGATGACATTTACGAGGGTGCAGGTAGGAGGAAATGGCAGGCGGATCAATGGCTCTGAGGGCCCAATCTCAGTAACTTGGTCACTGGAGTGGGGTCAGGCCAGTCCTGCAGCAGCGCCGGGGCAGCTGAGGACACAGCTGCCACAGGTACCAGCTCACTGCTCCCAGCCAGAACACAGCTGCAAACATTGAGTCAGTTCTGTGCTGCAGCAGAAGTCCCAGGGCCCCCTCTCTACCCCTAAAAACAACACAACCTGGCAGGACACTTTCTAGTAAGGGTCCCCCATTCCCCAACAGATCCACAGTGGGGTAGTCAGTGTGGGCAAGACGTTTGGAAGAAAGAGACAGCAGTGCTTTGGAAGCTGGAGAGGCAGAAGCCAGGCCTGCCCTCAGCTTGCACGGGCCACAAAGAGCAGGAGGGCCCTTCACTGCTTTCACCAAGGAAGGGAGAGTGCTCTGTTTCCCCAGCCAAGATAGGAGGGCCAGACCTCAGAGTAGGTCCTTGACGGAGGGTGCCACATTCCCTGTGCCCCCAGACCCGTAGCAGAAGCAGCACTCACCTTTTCATTGTTGACAGTGGCCCAGGGGGCATCTCTCACCACAAAACCCTTGGATGGGGCCTTGGACTCTTCATGTGAAGAGGGCTTCATATACACCTGCATTGCCTCGTTGTCCACCACATCTGCAAGCTGCAGTGACACAGCCCAGTTAAGGAGGAATCTTGATACTTCCTCCAACTGGTGTAACACGCCTCCCTGCCATCTCACCATGCTGCAACCCATCCAAGGTCACCAGCCTGTTCTACAATGAATGAACACAGTGTTTCTGCACTAGTCTGAGCGCCACCAGCTCCTAACTGATGCAAGCTGCAGCAAGGCAAGCATGTGCACATCCTGGTGGTGTCCCAGCATTCTCATTCACTGTCCCCTCCTGGACAGTGGGGCCAGTCCTTGCACTGCTTCACAGAGCGCAGCCTGGGGCTCTGCACCCAGTTGGTCTGAAGGACAACTGCAGATGAGGGCTGACTGCCACCTGCACAGGGCTCGAGTTCTCCAATGCAGTGGTAGAAAATACCACATGGACATACTACAGACATCCAGTCCTGTGGCAGAGGAAATCCTTGCTAAGCCCCCACACAGATTTGCTGAACACTTACATATTCCTCCTCCAAGTTCAGGATGTGATCGATAGCTTCTTCCACGTTCTCAGGGAGTCCTGTCACAGTCACACAGTTGGGGTCAGGAGCTCCACTCTGGGGAAAGCGAATATCCACCTGCAACACAAGGAACAGGACGGGACTTACACCCGCACATCTGAAAAGCCATGATTCCCCATGACCCTCATCATTAGATTCACAGAAGAGAAAAGCCCTGATATGTTCACTGCTGCAGGTCTGTTTAGGACCTCCCTAGTTCAGATGCTGGGGGGTGCACTGGAATATATACCTGGTCCTGAAGCCTGCTCGGTTCCCCCTGTGAAGGAAGGCAGAACAGAGTCTGCAGTAACAACCCCTCTTCCAGCAGCCCCTGCTTTTCTCACTGCCCAGAGGCCCATTGCTTTCTGTGCAGCACTTGCAGCAGAGGCAGAAGACGGCTGCATTTCCAGGCAGGGTCCTCACACTGCTGCAAGCATTTTCACCATCAAGCCATTACCATGAAGCACAATAAGTTTTCTGTCTCCTCCACAGATAGAGTAATCCTGGCTGACAATGATTTTATGGAGCTGGCTTAGCGTACCCCATACACAGCCACTGAGCTCTCTGACAGCTTGCCTTCCAGACGGGTGCAGGGAAGCCACACAAGACAGGACCAAAACCAAAGGCTGCTCATTTGGGAACCAAACAGCTTGTTTCAACAACCGAGCACAGCCAAGATGCAAGTCTCCAAAGCCTCATCACTCTGGATTCACTTTCACTACTGCCCCTGCACACTGCTACTGCCACATGCTGTCAGGGGCAAAGGTCCCTGCCCTTCCCAGATTCTGCTGACTTTGCCAAATCTGGAGCCCTGAGAGTGTGTCAAGATTCCCAAAGTAAAGGGAATCAACAGTGGCCTAGAGAGACAAAGAAATCCAGAGGATTTTCTTGAGTTAAGCTCAAGCTGAGGGGGTCTGGGCACAGTCCCCTCCCAGAGCTCCCCAGCAATAGGCCTGACTGTCCACTTCCAGTAATCGGAGTAGCTGACATAACCACCTCCTCCCTATGAAGACCATCCGGAACCCTGTCTGCAACAAACCCACTAAAAGGGCTGCACAGAGGGACAGCTCAGTGCTGTTTGTAGGGCTAACCCAGAGCACCAAGGATGCATTTCCAGGTTCCTCTTCTGGCTGTGTTCCAGCAAGACAGGAAGAGCTCAGCCTCCTCCCTGCCTGGCTCCCAGAAGAAGGGTGACTCACAGCTGAGGTCATGTGGGGATGCTCCAGCTGGTGTCTGGGTGTGGTGTCCAGACAGCCCAGCTGCTCAGGGCATACCAGGGTGCCCTAGCCCAGGGATTCTGCTCACATGCTTGTGGTGACAGAGCTGGAGGTAAGCAGGACAGCACTGGCTTTTCTTTTGCGCCTGTTCCAGCTGAGGGTGCTCAAGAGGCACAAGACACAAGGACCACAAGATGTGAGCCTCATGCTCCTGAATTCAGCTCCTAGCACCAAGCTGCTACCAAGCTCTTAGCACATGAGCAAGAGGCACCACTGGCCACCCAGGCCCAGCCCAGCCTGCGCTGCATCGCCTCACCGCTCACCTTGAACTCATCCATGATTTTGCGGATGGCTTTACCACGCGCACCAATGATGCGTGCGTGAACACGATGGTCCAGAGTCACATCCTCAGAGACCATCTGCTCCAGCTCGCCAACAATCTTCATGATGGCATCCCGGGCAGCCTCAGCATTCTTCTCATACCCAGTGATGGTGATCTGGTCTTGGGCCTGGGGCACAGGGAAATGTGTGTGAGACCAGGCTCATAAGCAGCTGAGCAAGCCTTCTCCCTGCTAATCCCTTTTACCCTCCACCTTATCCAAAAGCAGCACAGGGAGGTCAGAGCCCTAGAAAAGACGCTGTGCTTCCTATGCTCAGAGACAACCAGCAGCCCTCCTTGCACCCAGTCTGGCCTCTCACCTGGCTTTCATCATCCTTGTCAGGGAACTGGATGTTGACCTCATGCTCTGTGCGTATCTGGGTGATCACTGCTCCCTTCCGCCCAATGATTTTAGGGTGATACTTGGGATCCACAGTGACTGTCAGCTTGAAGCTTCGCAAGGCCTGGAACAGGAGAAGCAGAGTGAGGTAGAACAGCAGGGAACATACCGTGGCTAGTCCAGTAAAGTCCATCTAAGTCCCAGCATTTCCTTCTGGCTTCTGAGATGCACAGAACAGATTCTGCAGGGTCATGCCTGAGTGTATGTGGCTACAGAAGAACACCCAAGACAGCCATCTGCTGGG